CGCCGTCGAACTCGTTACCTGCTGGTATAGATTTCCTGGCATCAATCATGAATAGCGATCTCGATGACATCCAGTGGTGTTGTGGTCGAACTGGAGAAGTCGGACAGATAGCACTGAACGCCCCTAACATAGCTCCTTTCGCACTTTTTCCACGCTTCATGCACATGCTCACTGCCACCGCAGTATCGGTTTACTGTGGAGTTTTTGGGATAGCTCAGATCGATACTGTTGAGCTTTGGTAGTTCGAAGACTGGATTGGCATGCTTCTAGGTGACTTGCGAGGGCCTGAAGGGAAACGAACTGTCAGGCGTGCGCGCACCGTGGCGTGATCGGAATCAAGTGGCGCCCCCCAGAAGGAACGGCATTCTTGAATTGTAGCTCTCCACCGGTGGCTGATGGCCACGTGGTCCAGCCGGGTCCACGGTTGATTTCCAGTCGTTGGCCGCCAGGTTACGCCGTGGGAACGTTTATGTTGAAAGTTCGTTCTTATCAGAAACAGTTCGTGATCAGCACACAACTGAAGGAGTCGATCTCCGTTGTCTGTGCGGCGGGCATTGACTCCGAATCGACCTCCCAAATGTGGTTCCAGAGAGCTCAAACAACCTGCTTGAGCATTCAAATCGCCTGCAAGGATCACAATGCTAGTGCACTTTGCTGGACGAACGAGCCCGGATAGTTTTCGATAGAAAGTATCCTTCTCCGCCTCAGACCTGCAGTCCGTTGGGGTGTAATCCGACTCTACAAACAGGCACCGAGTTTTATGCTGAGAGGCATTGAGGTTGATTGAACTAGATGACCGGACGGCGCAAAGACGACTGTTCACTGGGATCCAACCCAGCGAAGCGTATTTAGCTCTGGGGCTTGGTGCAACTCCCACGCCATATATTCCACAGATAATCGCTTCTGGATCACCGGGCACACGGAGGGAGAAATGTGAAAAAGCTGCGTTCATTCTTGACGTTCTGAGATTCATAACCATACTTGAGTCTTGTATGCGTGTTTTGGAGACAACATACATCAATTTTAAGGGATTAAAAGGTCTCCGCAAGCCTGTTTGCCAATTTGACATAGAGTACGGACGTTAAAAGCTCCTATATAGAAAGTATATCGTAGATTTAGAAGGGTGTTATTTTTATTGTTAGTAGGCAGCGAGGGGCACAAGGCCGTTCGGTCAGATAACTGACATTCGAATGGCCCAGCGACGTTTGCTTGTGTAGCGGGAAGGGGTTGGGGAGGGACATCGGTGGACACCGAACTGCGCGGGCAAATGATACTTCCCGGTTGCTCAGGCCGAGGAAGGGGGTTTGGTTGAAGTACCCCACCTTGAACCTTTGACTCAAAAGTCTGACCCACAAGGCAGTGGGACGATGTAGGGTTTTGTTCAGGGACCCTGCTTCTAGCCTCTGACTCAAAAGTATGACCCACGAGGCAGCGGACAGTAGGGTTTTCTTTGGTGACACTTCCCGGAGCCGATGACTCAACAGTCTGACCTCGACCGCAGGGGTCTACCCAAATCGAAGGCGCACGGAATAGGGCATTACTGTCTCATTCCTGATGCGCCTCCGCACAGTAGGTGCCTTTTGAGCAGAATAGGGCTCTTTGGTTTTAAAAGTATTTCGACCGTATTGGATAATACGCCGGCGGTCACGGTCGACCATTTGGCGATCGGAGTGTGCGGGTTTTGAGGCCGACCTTCCTCAGGGGAAAGCAGCACCGCTGCTTCCATAAATGTGGACATGCTGGTCGCCTGGTGGAAACACCTTACTGCCTTCACACTCCTGTCGCAGAGGACGGTATGACTTTACCCCCAGACCGCCCCGTAGCATGACTACTCGTAGTACGGGGTCTCGCTGCTCTTGATCTGGCCGCTCCACTTTTGCCTTCCTGGCATGGTTGCACCTTGTGGAACGACGTTTCAGCCACTGTAGCCTGCAGGATCATTGCAGCACTCAAGCCCGACCACCACGTCAATGGGGGGGGGGCGAGATGGCCCAAGTGGTTAGAGCGCGAATTTACTGACCGGAAGGTCCGTGGTTCGAACCCGACCTCTGCCACTCGACTTCCCCTGTCTAGGCTTGGGCGACCTGACAGTATCCCAGCCCTCGTGCCTCCTTCGTGTGGCATGGCAGCTAGGAACCGAAAGGGTGCTAGAGCTGAACGGTCACGTCAATGTAGCAGCTTTGGATCGTTTAATCAGACTGGGCAAACTCCACGATTCGACAAGCTTTCTGTCAGCATAAGTTTGATGTTCCTCTGTATAGTCACCCCGCCTAACAGGATGCTATCATTTGACAAGCTGTATTTTTGAGCTAATGACAGAATGCAACTCCGGGTTTCCGGTTATTCCGGGTCTCAAAACAATGGCAGATTCAAGCAAACGAACACAATTTGCCAGGCGAGTGGCGTGTGACACTAAATGGTGCTCGGATAATATGGCCTGGAAGCTATTCCCACCTCTATTATGGGCGAATGCCAGACCCATTTTGTTTGAAGGACAAGCTTCACATGCCCACTTACAAAACAAGGAGTTCTACTTCTGTACTAGGTTCGGCGTTAATGATTCCGAGGTTTCAGACCTCCGAAAAGTCTCATACCTCGACATCTCGATTGCTGCTGTCCAGGCTCAGGCAACATAGCAGTATCCCATCTTTCGGGCCTCCTTCCGTTGCATGACAGCAACGCAATGGTGCTACAGCTGAACGATTTTTATATACACTCCGACATACCTCTAAGAATTCAAGGAGTGATACTGGAAGTTGTGGAGCTCTATAAAAAAACCCAGCTGTAACACCCTTCCGGTGCCTAGCTGCCATGCTACCCGAAGGAAGCACGAGGGCCGGGATACTGCCAGGTTGCCCAAGCATAGACGGGGTAAGTCGATAGGCAGAGGTCGGGTTCGAACCACGGACCTTCGCGCTCTAACCAATTGAACCATCTCGCCCAGTTGAGCGCTATATGTATCTCGGGAGTTACATTAGCTATGGCGGTGACGTAACAGACAGAAATGCATATCGGTGGGTCTCAAAGGATGCGTATATCAGACTACAATGCCGCCTTTATTGTTGTATGGCTGCGAAACTTGACCACTTTGGGCGAGGTATCTGAGACATCTACAGATCTTTGACCACCGATGTCTCAGGACTATAGCCCTAGTCGGCCGGAGCCAACGACTTCGGAGTTTGGTGATCAGGAGATGGGTTCTTGAAGCCTGAGGGTACTTCACTCAAGGGGTGAATCCAGCACTACAAGCCAGGGTGGGTAGGTTATGTCGCGCATGCCTGTTTACCGTCTGTCTAGATGGTCGCTGTTTGTCGTACTCATTTCTGAGTGGCGAAAACCTCAAGGTGGACAGAATTAGACGTGCCAGGAGGAAGCGAAGGACGTTGCGAGAAGTCTGGGTGCTGTTGGTGCTGGTCGCCTTCCTGGTAACCTTCCTTGAGGTTGGCTGTAGATGGTGACCAACCCATGTCATTGGCATCTCTGCTGTCAGTTTATATCCAGATTGTCTGATTGAGTGCCGGAGGTGTAGGCACTTCGGACGTTTGCTGGAAGGTAGCCATGGGTCTCCGCCTTGCCCTGTTTTTCCCCCGATTGTGAGGCTGATTGACGTGGTTGTACAGCAATGAAGCATTGCTGTTCTCATCTGGTGCTGCTGTCAGTGTTAATGATGGTGGTATACCTCGATGAACTGCAGTTCTGAAGCTGAAAAGGGTAGGTTTTACCGAGACTTGTCACAAATGCTTCGGTCCACGAGAAGACTGGATATATTCGTCGTGAAACGCAATGTGAACGCCCAAATTGGAAGACTAAGCCGGAAGTAGCACATTTGGTAGTAAATTTGGAGTCTGCTCAGCCTACGGACACTGAGAAGCGCCTCCTTCTGTTGTCAGCTAAGCACCCTCTGTTCTTGGCCAGGACGATTATTTTCGACCAAGCGCTCACACTGAGTTACTTCGGGACCACCAACCACAAATCACGAACTCAGTTAGTCCATGTGGTTACCGATGAAGGGTCCTAATCAAAGATTGCCATCCTTCCCAAGTACGCAGCTTGACTCCGTTCATGTATCTGTATGGCTTGATTGTCAACTCGGATTTAAACAACGAAGCAGAACCATTGCGTTAATCGATTTCAAAGGTTTCCAATAGCCTGACATTATCGAGCTGATCTGAACAGAAAGTTACGGGGAATACACAGTTACGGTGGTGACGGAGATTACTCAGCGGATAATTAGAAGTGGGAGAAAGAAGCTTGGCTCCCAGTCTTTTGCACTGTATCCAAGGCGACCAAATGAATGCTTGAAATGATCGAAATCAGCATATCCGGTTGATGTCTTAGAACCGATACCAGCAACTAAGGACCACGGCGGCGCTAGCAGACCCCTCAAACGCTTGATAATTTAGAGCCGAAATAACTACGGAGGACGTCGTTCGGTTATGAAAGCCCAAAACACAGAAGATTTTCGCTTCAGGAAATAGTCACTCTATTTTGACTGGTTTGATCGACCGGCCAAAAAGGTAAGCTTTGGCGAAGTATTTTGCAAAAACTATGGGACGGCCATTTGTTCATGGTGGGCTGAACCCTCTTGGGCGCAGTTCACCTGACCCTCTTCAACGTGCTCTCTGGGACGATCCAAGGAACCTGAATGGAGCATTAATACCAACCCGATATCAGCAACAGAAATCCAGCGTGAGATATGCATTTTGCAAAAGAGATGGTGAAGCTCTGGTGAGCAGCCTGACAGCCTTATCGAGGAAGATTGTAAACGAAAACAGAATACCACTGGAATTGTTGTAACTAATTGATGTCGCTGCCCCAGTGTCAGAAAAGGTCAAATTCGTGATCCGCTCACTTGGCCTGATAAAACTCTTGTGTCAAAAGCGAAACGTTGCCCAGTTAAAAACTACCGATTGTTTACCAAGCCCTTCTGAAATGATTACATGTTCCTTATGTTTTCCCTTCTTTCCGCTTCAGAACTTTACCCTGGAGTCAGTAGTAAAATGAGCTCAAAGCGCAAGGTGGCAGAAATGAGCGAAAATGACTTCAAGTTTTTGCATGAGCGACTGAGTGTGCTAGCCAAACACAGTACTCCGGATGCTAGGAGCTTTCTCTTGTTCGTCAAATCCCTCATGCCCAATTCGTTAAAACTCAGAGTTTGTTGCCCATATTCGGTTTGTTCACCATACTGTATAGCTGCTCGAGTATGGTTTCTCAAAGGACAATGGCGACTCTATAGCAGCTGCTCAACAGTTGTCACAACTCTGTTCCTCACACCGTGATTCCCTCAGAGACGAGGCAAACGCCTTGTTTAATGGAATAACGAGTTCCGATCGAATTAGCCTTGGTAAGCAGTTGGACTGTTTTTGCCGAGCTTGTTTTTACTCATTCCAGATATATTTACCAAACTCACGCCTACTGCACAACGTGACATACTAAGCATCTACTTTGAGCATGGCTGTGAACTCCTAACAAAAATAGACACATTGATGTGTCTTTTAAACAGTCGAGAAATCCGTGCTCAATCCCAACTCGTCCCGACTCTTCTTGCTTGGACGTATGATAGCTTACGGGAAGGTGAGCTTAATCTGCTACGTAGCAGTGTGGACACGCATGTCGAATCTCCTCCCATGAGGTCACCGGACTGTTCCATGGACCCTCAAAATACGGTTCACAAGTAAGATGTTCCCTCATGATTAATTGCTCTTGAGGAAGGTTGACAGATGCGATGGATGAAGGTGAGGAAGGTGAAGTGCTCGGGGATGATGAGGAGGAGGAAGAAGAAGAGGAAGATGAGACGTCAGGAACGAAACTCGAAAATAATAACCAACGAGCTGTAAAAAAGTTGACAATCAACGTATACAAACTGAAAATGGCGTTTGAACTCTTGCCCGTCATGCATAAGGTTTTCTGGGTCAATTTCATTGGCATCACTTTTCTCCTTCATTCTAGTTACGTGACACAGTGAAAATTGACCGAAAATTGTTGGAGGGAGTGACGACTAGTTCCCTGGGCTTTTTGTGCCACTATTTGTCTTCGTACCCCCCTGAACCGCCCGTTATTGGGACGCAGAAGCCCATGACTGATCTGTGTAAAGCTGCTCCAAAAGATTATCTTCGAAGTTGTCTTGGAATGTGTGGCGAGTTATTACAATGGTCTCATGATATTCTTACACAATCAGAGCGAAGCACTTCGACAACTGAATCCTCTCCTAAATACCCACTGAAAAGTGCTGAGAATTTGGTTGTGGTTTTCGAACAATGCATGGAAGAGGTGAGGCGCCATGCGGCTTCTGGCAGCAACGAAACCACGCCGAAGAAGCGGCGCTCTAGCCAGCGGAAAACAGACACTCACTACAACATCAAAGTCCTAGTCTCACAGGCGGCCTGTTTATTCTGGTATCTTCTCGTCCATCTGGGTTTGGAGTACTTTTCACAAGAAAGGCCAAACGTATTTACTGTATCGGAAGAAAACTCTGTGTCCTATCACCCTGTCAACCTCAGTAGGCTGTTTCCAGATGTGAAAGTCAGTCCTGGTGTAGTCAAAGGTGATCTTGATTCGTCCCCTATTTTGCTACTGAGTCGCCTCTGGCACTGGTTGAAGTACGACTCAGGGTCCGGCAAGGCATCTCTCGGTCACAAAGACATCGACTCGTGGATGGGAAAACTCGGTTTTCAGCTTCCTGTTGGCATACCACATCCGGATATCTCTCTAGAAACGCTCATATACGCAGACTTACTATTCTTATACCCAGAATATTCAAATGTTCAGTCTAACAAGCCCCTTTCGGAGTTATTCTCCACTTCCACAACAACTCCGAACTGTTTCCTTGCTTACTCTCCTTTAATACGTGACTTTTTACACTGGCTTTCGGTGGCGTGCGATGTCACCTCTCCAGACCCATCGACTAAATCGAAGAACCAATTCGAACTTCAGTCCGATTTCATCCAACAACTATCTGTTGTCTCGAACAATGCACCGATCAACGCGTCTTTTCTACCCAAACACGTTCATGGACAACTGTGGATGATCCCGCTAGTGCAACCTGTGATTGACTATCTTGGTTGCAAAGTGATTACATCTTGGCTAAGCCTAATTTTCCGTGAATCCGCTACGCTTCCAAACACTGTTCAAGCGGATACTGCTTCCTTATTGGCTTGTCTCGGTCAAGTCGATACACTCACCCAATTTGCTGCTACTTTCTCTACACCAAACACTTTGCCGTTTACGGAAATTTTGAGGTTGTTGAACGTACATTGGCCGTATGCACGTAAGAAGTTCGCGTCCTGGCTCAAGCGGTCACCACGGATTATTGAGGATTCGGGACTTCTTAGTCAGCTGGCTCATCTAGAGGTGGAGTATCGGAATTCAGGCGGCAGCACCAACAGGTGAGCTTCATTTGCTCAGTATTATGTCCTAGCTATTAGGCCAAAACTAGTCCCGGTTTTCTGAACTTGAAATTACCTGGAACAGTAATCTACACTCACTCAGTCAGTTTGTCAGCTGTAAACCATGTACCAAGATCACGGAAACCACCACCACAGTGCGTCACATTGGAAATCGTCCCACCCAGGGTTCGAATACTCAATTTTTGTCATGGATGTTACAAGTTCAATGGTGAAATCTTCATCTGGTGCCCATAGACATTCTAGTTTAGAATGACTGTGATTTGCCTATCGAAATGCATTTTTATGACCTTAGTCTCCACACCACTCACGAAAGCGGAATGGGTGCCGTTCCTTGGAGTAGACAAGTGCGATCACTGTCGAAAGGTTGCGTGTTCAAATCTTCCCCAACATCTCTGGCGAAACAGTCTCGCCTTACTCTTAAGTCTTCCATCACCCGTTCACCTGCTGGATGAAATTCGAGATACGTAGTGGGTACATGCCAAAGCCAAAACGTTTGGTTCACCAAAACAACCAGGAAAACCCCCATCCTATGGTCAGTCCAATCCAATTAGAATTCATGCTTTGGCAGTATTCACCCGGAGTAGGGTCGTACAGCCTTATGACCAGTTAAGCTTTTAAAAAAAGTTAATTTCGTTAAAATGAAACAATCATCGGAATACAGAACCGTTTTGATGCGACACAGCTGTGAATCAGGTAAGCCCAGAAACCTTTACCCTATGCACGAATTGCCACTCTCACACTGACGTACCGCTACTCTTGTGTGCACTGGTGAGTTACTAGAACGTTTACAACCAGATCGCGTAGCTCAGTGGACGGTGCTCAGTCACCGAAATTCAGATGATCGGACGGGTAAAACGCCGGGTCAGAGAATTTTCCACAGGATTGATGCTATTGTGCGATATGCCAATTATTATTTTATTTTGGAAGCCGGAATATTGTGACGTAAAATATCAGGTCTCATTGCATTTACGAAATATCCGTAACCGTTGGTTCTATATGGCAGGATTGTCTAAAATAGGTCGGGTTTAAACGCTTGTGGCTGCTCAGTCGATAAGGGAGCTCGAGGTAGCTCACTATCCAAGGCATGAGCTTACTGACCGAAAGGTCCTTGTTTCGAAACCAGACCTGACATCTCGACTGCTCCTGTCTGGGCGTGAACAAATTGACGGTATTTCAGCCCTCGTGCTTCCTTCGGGTGGCATTGCGGTTAGGCACCGAAAGGGTATTACAACTGAACGATTATTATTACTAGAAGTCAAGCCCTCGCCCACGCTTCTTGCAGTTCATCAATGCTAATCGACGACTTCGGTCCTGCAACCAGAAGTCCATTAAATAATCGAATAGGAGTGTAGACGTTTTTACAAAAACTAGGTGATGCTATTCTACCTCTCTTTTCCACTTAGGATAGCTCGGTTTCAAGTTTTCATGCAAAACATGCCTACACCTGTATGTGAGTGGAGTATTGTTCTAAATATGTTTGCAAAAGATATAGTCACTTATTGTCTTTGCGTTGTCCTATGAGTCCAATAATGCTCAGACTCACCTGCAAACAATGTTGTCGAGTGTAGCGTGTTCCTTCGGCAACGTTGGCCAGATACAGAACTTCGGGAAAACCACTGAGCCAATTCCCGGGGCTAGTTACTCACAGGCATGCCAACCCCAAAGAGACCACACACGATCGGAGTGACGACAAAGGAATACACATGAATTTCGCGCGTAACGAAACAGCTTTGGAGCCGTTCCTTGTCCGTCATCGCTGGTGATATTTCAGATATCCTTGAGCATCCTGTCTCCTCTAATAGACTCCCAAGTTTACATCAGAGTAGGGCAACAGAAGTTTTCATCATATGTAGAGTTCACCTCGTCTCCCTTTTGGCTAACTGACTGCTCGAAGCGATCGCCATCTCTGTGCGTTATTCCAACACTCGATGTGCTTGAGTAGATACGGTCACTACCTGTGGATTCAGTCGAAATGTGCATCACACTTCGGGGTTGTCGACCTTTCTATAGAGCAGATACTGGTAGTTTGTACTCCCCTGTATATGTTCGAAACCACTATGGAACTTCTTACGCCCTTGATCCTTGCCGAATGTCAAGACTTAGAATCGGTGCGATCGGCAGAACACAAGGGTTGACACGGATCCTTTACTGTCACAAAGTTTATTCAGTCATCTCCAAAGTCTTTAAATGCAAAGGGAATGGGATTGGCACGGAAGGGAACCGATACCAACCTAATGCAGTATATCTGAGGTGTACACATCTCTGATTGCTCAACCAGGCTATCTGAAAAGAGAATGGTAGCCCCTATATCTTGCGACGTTTCCAGCCAAGCTCAGTTTGGAAGATGAACCTTACCAACGGTTCCAAAATATTCGTGGTATCTTTCGCACCCGTCTACAGTGTTACTTGTTGCGCATGTATCCATTTTTCCTTGATTTTCAGTTCGGAATGCCCCGACTTTCTGGTCACATGCGTTGATGCTCTCAAATCTACCTGCAAAGAAGACATTTGCGCCAGACTACGCGGCTTTATTGAATCAGAAACGGATACGATTTTGTCTTGCCTAAGAGCAACCGAATGAGTACCTCATGTTGCCTTGTACTTTAACTGACAGAAAAAAAAAAATTTATTGTGATTCTTTGCGATTCTTCGCTTATATGAACTTATATTAGGGTTCTTGGAGTGCAATTCGGAGTCCCTCGGAGCAGCCCCTTTCAAGTTCCCTACAAAGACACCACACGCCAAGCTAATTCATCCATTCCATCTCTTCTGATTCGTTGTTCTCATTCCCTTATTATCATTATCTTCGGTGAACGAAGCTGTAGTACGATAATTCGGTGTACGGCTTGTCAGCTGAGAAACTGAACTGAACTCATTCAACTCCGACTTGAAGTTAGGTTGGGGCGTTTGTGTGTGTCCCGTCAATAGCTTTGCTGTCGTGGTTCCTACGACTTGCAGGGCAGCTACGTTTTGAGAGAACGTTACGGTTGAAAATGTCTGAATTCATACAAATGCCATAATATTCCGTACTCTGAATTTAGGTCATTCATAAGTTATGCGCTGAACTTACTTGGCCACCACACTACGCTGAAAAAGTGTTCACATTGACTGTTTTACATGATTAGGTGATGCCTGGCTACCTATGCTGGACGATCACGTAGTAATAGAGAATCGGAAACCGTTTTCTTTTCGAACGATGCATATCTCAGTTTTGGCTGTTTTCACCGCTTATCACGGTTTTTCTCGCCTGCCGTTATATCAGCTGGGTGTTAACCATCGGTATTATTCCTCATCTACCTCCTTCGCTTGAATCCAAACAAACAGTCCTCTTTGCTTTGATCTATACTTGTCTGTGAAATTGCTTTGTTACCTTGCGTGCCATTCGACTCTTCAGCTGCATTGGAGTTCGCGTCCAGGATACATTTTGAGCAATACTCCATCTGACTTAGTCTATACCACACAAATTTTCAATGGCGGTACTTGTCAGAGCTTCTACTGGGCAATTGTCTTCAAGAATCCTGGAACTTCATCAATTGTCTTTCCAGTGGTAGTGGGGTTTCTCCGCCACAATCTGTGTATCTAACTGTACTGAACAATATCGCATTTCCAGCAGTCCCGTTCGCGCTTACTGTTTTACCTGAATTGGTATGCGCTTTTGTGAGACAACAATGAACCAGTAAAATAGGAAATTGAGGCTGATTTTTCGTTAATTGCTTTGACGCGGAATCAGAGGACTCACTAGTCACATGATTGCTCAACTAGCCATGGGTGTTCAGAAAGCTGAGGTATCCTAACGCATGAGAAATAGTGACTCGCCTCTACAAATTACATCGACCGGTTACATGTGTTGCATGGGAGGGCACGTTGCTTTTACGAATCCCCGTGGGATATTTGTTCAAACGCCAGGCTATGAATGTTTGTTTGGGATAAATGCATGCACGTTTTGCAAATAAAATCAGACGTAACAACACTAATGATGGTATCCAGTTAGTTAAAATGTTGACGCGGCCATCGGGAGATCTTAGGTGACCGAGGCACTCTAATACAAGTGTCTGTATTACGCAAAGTTGTTATTATGTTCCCAACCGAACGGAATTCGCTCGCTGCTTGTAAGTAAAAATGAAAACCACAAGTTTGTAGTTTCAGATCTATGTCAGCATCGTTTCGAGAAGTAACACTTCTTACGTTCGACCCAAACTACCCAGTTACCGTCGCCGTTACGCCTTCGCCCTAGGATGACAAATGTCTACCAACCGCCGACGATCGAATGCACCAAATGTTCATCGGTCAAAACGCGTACAAATTATAAGCATCTGACCCTTGATGCATCTTTCTGCCTGCAACATCGACCCACTAACTTTTCTGGTTTTCCCGGCTGATGTCTGCTAGAAATTCCCGGTAAGGTTACAAATTCCCATTAGAAAAAAATTTAACACCAAGAGTGAAGTTGATCCGTTGTATGATCTATCGTCAAGTGCTGACCTGAGGTTAAACTACTAATCATCCGAGCTCTTTAACACAAAGAACTCTGATCTCATGACTTTTCAAACACGAGTGAATGGTTTACAGTTGGTTTGTTCACTTGGATGGGCGACTTGTTTTCACACGTTTCATCGCCATTCGAAGTAATATCATCAATGATTTGTGAGTAGAACTGGGTGCAGGGTCTAATATAGGGTCTACTGGCCCAATCGATCATTGGCCTTTTGGGTAAGCACTCGTACCGGCTTGTTGGTTAGCCTGTCTTCCGATTGGTAAACTTCCTGGTAGCCTTGAAACCTGACATCACGATCCATCCGCTGTCCCCTTGTTCGTTAGCCTCCACAGGAAGTCCAGTTTATTGTTTCGTTGGTCTGGTTGTCGAGTGTTAGAACTCAGTTGATGGCCTCGCTCATAGCGGTGCAGAGTACCAGGGTTCCAGTAATCCCCTTCCGTATTTGTACTTACACGTCCCCCGAACTTCATATTTTCTGGACCAAACTTATGTCTCCCGTGATCTTCATATATGGAATTGAGTTGATAGCTGCATTGTGTAGGAAGCTTTCCAGTCTGTCCAGTATACTTCCCCTGCAGTCCGTTCAGTTGATTCGGTACAAAACGTTGTTGTGCCAACGGACCCAGAAAGGGGATCCAGTGTGGATGTGAACGAATGAAGTTCATGATGGGTGGACTGCAGACGTCAAATCTCAAGGTAACCCGGAAGACATTTCAACCAACAAATCCATAGAAGTACTCACACAAACGAACAGTGGTGGGTCAAGGTGGATCTGGATGAGCAGACCGTATGTCAACGTATGCACGCGCAACAACCACTCACAATTCAATGATGGTGTCACCTAAAATGGTGGTGGAACGTCTGCAATCACGCTGCCTAGCCCAGCGAACGGACGAGTCGTGACCATTACAACCTGAGTTACTAATATTCTCTTCAAGTGCAATAGATGGATTGCATGGATTCAAGTCATTGGTAACCCGTCTCAATACTTTACGATGGCTTTCAGAGAAAGGCTCGATTGGGTAACTGTATTAGCTTTGATGTGAGCCTTATTATTGTTGGGTGGAGGCGAGATGGCTCAGTAGTTAGAGCGCGAGTTTACTGACCAGGAGGTCCGTGGTTCAAACCCGACCTCTGCATCTCGATTTCTCCTGACTAGGCTTGGACAACGTGGCAATATCCCAGCCCTCGTGCTTCCTTCGGGTGGCATGACAGCTAGGCACAGAAAGGATGCTACACCTGAGCGCTATTATTATTATTATTAATTATTGTTGGAATTACAAGGCGAGATACAGCTTTTCGGCAGCTTGGTTGAGGAGCGATCGAATCGTCGTTCCCTCGGGCTGTAACAAAAGCATGTTCCGGGCGTTCTCAAACACTGCATATGTTTCGTCAATGACGTAAAAAACAGTGGTTAGTTCCACAAGAATGACATCTCTTACAAGGTGTCCTAACTTGAGCTTTGCTAACTTAATAGGTCAGGAGCCTCCACCCTACGATGTGGGACCATTCGATTTTCCCTTATAAGTCTTCCAGTTTGGAATCAAAGGACAGGTTTTGGAACTTATGTGCATAAAGAAGTGCGAAAATGCTCGGAATACTTTGTGATGAATATTTGTATGCAGAGGTGCACTACAAAGATTATGCGAAGCAGGTCTAGGAGTGCAGAATTTTTCACCTGTGTGAGTCAAGTCACACCAAAGCCACTCTGAACCGTCCATCGGTGTTTCCAAGCGGAATAACCGTCGTCGCTTTCCGGTTTCCACAAACAGGCTTTTCGTTACAATTCTGTTTATACATTCTGTTCCTTGTTACCTGTCATTCAAGCAACGTTTTCGATGGGTCGCTGTTATTTTCCGCCTGGCGTAGTCCGGCGTGAGAAATCCGCCATGCTAATACTTTGGCCCATAATCTAGTAAACGCTCGAACCGGCAATTGCGTGGATGTTCTAGAATTCTCAGCCCATGATCCCGGTGAGAACCCACATCATTCAACGGAAGGCGGGGTGCGGTACGAGTATGGCAAATCGAAGAATGCCACGCATCGTCCTTTGGTAGCATCACTACGACGTACCTGCTTTTTTGTTCCCAACCTTTCGCAACCAACTATTTGGAGGTTCCGACTCATATGAGCACTATCACTTGCCTATACGAATGGTTAACAGCTCGCCACGTCGTCATTACGAAAACGTCCATAGGTCATTACCGTATCGTTCACTAAGACCGTGCGTGTTGTCATCCCGCAGCCGCCCAGTCTAAAGCTTCTATTTATTGAACTACTTACAAGTAGGCAAAAATTTCAAAACCGACGTTGGCTGTGTGGTGCTATCACGGGAGCTGCACAGCAACGTTAGCGAGCCCTGTAGGAGAACAACTGCTGACCTAACTGCCCTTCAAGGCCAACCTTAAAAGAATGCTCTCTGTTCAAAGATGAGATTCAGGTTCATAAATTATGGATTTCCTGCATTCTCGAATGGGCGTTCTGCAGTTAGGTGTTATATGTCGGCACCGTATGGATGTTTTTGCATACTTTCCCATATCCTCTCTTCCCATTCAATTGAACAAAGATGAGCCGTTCAAGTTCATTTTCTACTTCCTGTAGGAATTTTTCGGACGTTAGTTAGGCAATTAGGCGTCTTCTTGTTCTTCGACAGACCTGAATGCATCCACATACTTGACATTATTTGTCTCTTCAAGTACCCTAGCGGCAGCTCTTTGTACGTTCTATACATACAAGATACACCGTAATACTTAGTAGTACATACGGAGGCGACTGTCTACGCTATGTAGAACTTGAAATATGATTGGATAATTGTACCTAAAATGAGGCTTTATTTGCCTCGGCTATCTTTATTGTGTGGAACACGCATCTTGTTCATATCTCGCATTCTGAAAAGAGCAGAACGCTGTACAACCTGCATATCATGAACTTGTCACTTATCGTGTGTACAATTTGGTACCCTTTTTCGCACGCACTTTAGCCTGGTTTGTCTTCAAATGCATTTTGAATACCCGATGGTAATCACAATTATCGTCCAACTGTATTACTTTGCTTAGTTTCCAATGTGTGACTTTTGAAGGCGACCAATGGGAATCCACAGGGTCTATCACACGTGGGACAGTTGCAACAGTAATTACTATGAGGTCGGTGGCAACGGGTGCAGTGTCTGCGAAAGCTAGTAAGTAAACAACGCTGCCACAAGGCTGTCAATCGTATTTAGCAGGGTAAAGTAACATTGGGCTCACCGTAATCTATAGGTTGGTCGATACATGATGTTCTGTATTTCGATGACCTGACTTCGACAGGGTTTGCTCCATCCGTCCCAAGTTTGAATTTGATGCAAACAGCCTTTGACAATTGAGTAATTCGATAGTGATTTGATTGTACTAGACAAGGCCGAACATTCTGGAGCATATAAGGGCGACATACTACTGAGTCACCAAAATGGCTCAAATTAGTCTTCAAGAGTCTATTCTTGTTGTCGCTGGTTTCAATCCAGACTGTCCAACTGGGTGTTAGAATTCTATGCTCTTCGAGTGTTTCATTGGGCGAGCGATAGTCCCATCTTTCCTATCGTTATTTAAGTGAATTAACATGCCCCTATGGCAGTGAAGCCTTAGTGTCTCATGTTGATGTCGCCATCTGGTGAAATATGGAGAGGTTTGTGTAAGGTTCAGAATAACCTCTACCCAGTTTGCGGCGAAGGGAGTATCGTTGAAAGTACAGAGGAAACTACAGCCAAACGAGCATTAATGTACTTTGGGAACCGCCTGTAGTATTCCATTATTTTACTCCGTGATGTATTGTCACTTCTAACGACAACTTATCGCGTGTTTCGTCAAAGGAATTAACAAAACCTGTTCTGCGACACTACGGTGCATATTCGATACCCGTCTTCTATGGTAACTGTCCAGTTCTCACCAAGTACTCTCATTCACATACGGATTTAGTTCAAGTTGAGTTCAAGCAGAATGTAAAGTTAACGGTAACATAAAGACTGCGCCTACCTGATGAGTCCCAAGGACGGTGAAATTGCTCGTGGAGTGTCGAAGACTATGAGTAATATATGTCTAGGCAATATCCAGTTATATTTCCATCGGCCAGATGAGATGGTTACTAGATGCCTCATCATTCCTTTTGGTGTCCACTTAACTCATGTATCGAGTTTATATAACTAATGGTCTGAAGGTTCGCGCTTTGGAATAGAAATGGCTTCCAAGAAGAGCGCGATTTCGCCTAGTTTTCTATGGTGTGCACTCTTTGAGAGACGGTAGTCATCTTCCAACTCGGCAACTCACATCACTCTCCTTTCTGCCAGAATGTTGTATCCAGGCGTGAAAATGACAATACTGTTGGAACTTGTAGTTTTTGCAACGTTTCTCAAGTCGACCGATAAATCAGCGGTCTTCAGAGTTACCTTGACGACCCACTCGCGTCGCCTGTGCTATCATGCCAGATGGACATTACAATGACTGATCTGTAATGGGGATATATCATTACCAACTCGATCAAGTATCTACATGATTCGGTACCTACTATCTCGTCACCTGTGCTATCATGCCAGATGGACATCACAACGACTGACCTGTAATGGGGATATATCATTACCAACTCAATCAAGTATCTACATGATTCGGTACCTACTCCCACTAGTTAACAGAGGCGCTGCGCACTAATCAATGACCTAGCTACTGGAAGTCCAGGTGGATTCATCAGTTGTTTAAATTCGCTGGAACTCAACCAACCTTGATAGACTTCAAAAGGCCTAAAATTCTACCCGAATAGCCAGGATGCATAACGTGCTATCTGTTTCCCATCAGAAGAATGATTTTGGATTCAAAATGCAAGGGTGTTCTCTGCTGTAATTAAGTCATAACCGTAGGTGTCACTAATACAACATCCACGAGATTGCGTCTACCAGCAATCAGTCCGAGAGTGACGCATGTCTTACATGTTATTTCATCAAACATGCGTCTGTACGTTAACTAATCAATGTAGTTACTGAATGGTTGACAAGTGTGCCAGCTTCCTCACATCCATTATGTGCTCACATTAGAAATACGCTGTCCCCTTGCAACTGGACCGTATACATGGTTATTCGTCGTACCATGACTGCCAAACATAGGTACTGCCTTCCGACAAGCCACTTATCCAGAACATTTGACAGCTGAACTTTTACGACGACGTTCAGACCATTCAGTAGCCCTCCAAGGTGAACACAGCCTAAGAAATTTGATCTTTCATTGATTATGGAAGGTACGCCTCAATCAATCGGCCAAAATAGAAAGCAGAGATTAGGGATCCCGTAAGGGTCTTTCTATCAGCAAGCCGACCACAGCGCGCAGACGAGCTTACACAGGACCTATGTTAGCTAACACAAAACACAGTAAGTAGCAATCCTCGATTGCATGTGCCAGGTCAACAGTCTCTCAGAGCTTCCTCCTGGATGGTTCTTCCGTGAGGTAACTACGCAGTTTGATTAATGGGCAGAAGCGCCGGCTCTTGGTTTTAGGCGACGTCTAAAAATAGCCCCACGTAGTTTATCTCACTGAAGACAGGAAACTCATTCAACTCCTACATGTATCTTCTCGAGATCCTTCGAAAATAAGAAAGGTCACCGCTGTCTGAGGTGAATTAGCTGGCCTTTGATTACGGATGGGATATTCCAGATGCCCATCAATGATTTTCAGTCTGTTCATGGAACTTGCTCCAAATGGAGCGCATCTTCGACGGTAGGGAAAGTGGGAGGCTTCGCGCATTCAGGTGTTGACCATAGGTGTGAAATAAATAAAAGACTGAGCGCAATGAAATCGAAAGTCTCGCTGATGGCCCATAAAGTTTTGGTGGTGGTAGTCACTTAAGTATTGATGTCCTCTGTAGATTTGAAGTCAGCTAGCCCTTTTACACAAGTTCCTTTCCGAATCGCTCAGACCGCGTTCTCTCTTTCGATCAGCGTGCTGTGTCCCCGAAACATACACACAAGACTCCATTACTGTCCTACATCTCAAACCACTAAGGGTGAACCCATATTTCTCACACTACTCTTCGGGTGTCTGGTGGACCTACTACAGTGGCTCGTTGTATCTACGGTGTGGGAGTTGTACCCAGCTCCAGGGCTGAATACGCATTGCTGTAGTGGATTCCAGTTACTAGTCGCCTTTGTGCGGTTAGCTCAACTGGTTCAATCAAGATCAATGGATCTCTACGTGGCAAACGATATTTGTTTGTTGTGTTAGTATAGGCTCCGATACACGGCGCCTGTGAG